GTCGGACAACCGGAGGCGCCGAGGTGACCGAAAGCTTCGGCGAGTAGGTCACACCTACATCGGGCCCTGTGTCTGGAGCCATGGAAGAATACAGCCACAGTATACCCCGCTTGTCGTACGAGGCGACTAAAGGGGTGGGGTTGCGACCTACGCACCACGGGCGAGCGCCCGGGGTAAAGGCCCACCAAGAGCCTGCTGAGCCAGCAAATCCTGGGAGACTTGGCTTGCCCAGTCGAACATCCAACCGATGATGTCCTACCTAACGGGGGAGAGATCGGCACCACGGGAAGGGGGGGAGCCCCACTGTCCCGAGTTATGCCCGGGCCAGTGCCCTCCTACTCTGGGCGCGTGCCGGTTCGCCGTCGGGCGCCCAGTGCCGGTTTGGTTTCGTGGTGGTTGTAGCGGGAGCTACTGTATGGTTCTAGCCAAAGCTGGCAGGTGAAGGTCTTCAGTGAATGGCTGTACCGTCAAGGGGGTGCGAATTCCTTTGGCGTTGCAGTTTCTCCTGGGTACTCAGCCGGTCTACCGTTGGACACAATTAGCGGAGGTTGCCTGTAACCAAAAACGGGAAGTGATGGGATAGATCACGGCCTCACCAGAGGTGGTACATGGTGGCTCCAGACCTGTGCCGTCTGGTACAGGGCTACGGCCCCGGTGCTGGTGGTCCATAGACGACACGCTTGGGTGGGGGCGCTTTGCCACCCTCGCACGGGTGAACCTCTATGGTTGTACTAGTGCACAGCGCTAATACATGGTCCATAGTTGTAGCTGCAAGGCATTAAACCCTGGATACTCATGTCTACAATATACGACATTACCTAATGGTAAATATAAGGTTTTAGTCTTCTAATAAATATGTATAAATTATATATTTATATACCACTCAAATTTGTTATAGTAAATCGAGAACATGAGATTCAGCAGTTACCACCAGTTCAACTTGAACCGCTGTTACTGCCTCCTCTGCTGGAAAATAATGGCCGTCAAGTAGCACAAAGACGAGGACGTGGAGGGCGAGGTAACTGTATTATCCCTCAAATTCCAAGACGACGCGGACGAACTCGTGGTCAAGTGCAACCAGGTAGAGGTCGTGGGCAACTAGTAGGTAAGTTTACAACCTTATGATATTTTAGATTATAAAATTGTATATTTTTTAACTATTTATTCTAGATGTACTTGTTAAACCAGTAGTAGGAGAAGATATAGTTATCATTGTTACACCTTACTCCCCTAATTTTGAAGGTTGGCATATTATTTAATTTTTGAAAGTACTTTTATAATTTTTAATTATTAATACCAGATGTACTTGTTTATAGAACCAGCAATAGGGGAAGATGAAGTTATAGTCGTTGGACCGAACGAAGCTAATTTTGAAGGTATATTCACAAATAATTTTGACTTTACTTTGAATCAAATTTTAACAACTGGTATTAAAGTATATTTCTATCTTTAGATGTTACTTATAAAGAAGGATTTCATCAACCAGTTGAGCCAATTGTACAACCAAATTCTCCTGTAATTGAAGGTATTTGATAATATGTTAATAAAACACTAATTAAAATTTAAACAAACATTAACAAATTTGAGAAACATTTAACAGAGAATTTAATATAATTGTAATAGTACCTGATGTGGTTATAGCAAAACAAGCAAGGCCTCTACAAAATATACCACTTGCCAATGGTAAGCTATAGTCTATAAGTAAATTAATGATAAACAAACATTTAAAATACCACATCATTTGTATACATATGATCATCTATTGGACAGGTGTTTTATCTGTCTTAATGACCACACAGATTTTGGTAGTGCAAACATTCTTATCCCATGTGGACATGGATGGTGTTGCGATTCATGTGGATTAAGGCTCAACAACTGTCCAATATGCACAGACCAATTTCCGCGGATGCAATATATTTAGGCAAGTCATTTTTTATTTTATAGGAACCTGGATACAAAATAATAACTTGGCTGATCCGACTGGAAGTCAATGCTTGGGATGCACAAAACAAATGACGGATGTACCAAATAGAGAACGCTACATCTATATTTATTGCGGGCACGGATGGTTTTGTTCGGATTGCATCTTGCCATTAACAGCTATGTGTGGGATATGCAACAATACTGTAGATGGTAGCATAAAAATGTACATAATATGATATAATGGAAAATATTGATGTTGTAGCTTAAAAAATGGTAATATGAACCTATTGTTAAATTATTTTATACATAAGTAGAATAATTATAATTTTTTTTTCTTATTTCAAATAAACAAACAGTAATTTATTAGTTAAGCTGTTTCTACATATTATAGCTCACAACATTTTTTCAAACGGAGTAAAAAGGATATTATATCATTTTTAAGGAAATGACGGATGATTTTATTATAAATGTATTATATGACAAAATTAGTCATACCAAAATACATTTACGGGATAAAAAGTTTTTAATTAATTAAAACAGAAGTTAAAAATTGAAATAATTTATGCATAAATAGTATTGTAGTATGTTATTAATGGAATGCATGGTAATTATTCTCTGGCCGTTCTTTAACCGGGCTTAAAGTGACACAAAATAGAGAGTGAACCATAACTTATTGAGTGAAACCCATTATCTAAATTAAATCTTGTTTTTTTTTAAATTGTTTATGTCATTACCTTGTGAAAAATAGTGGAGGAGGGTCCTTGTTGTCATTAGTATTTCTTACCTCTCAGCTAAATACCCATCTACCCCATATTGGAAACTTAATTATGAAATTTTATATTTTTGCAACAAATTATTTTAATTTAAGCTCTAGCACCAATTTCTCCAGAAGTGTGTGATACTTAGATAAGTAAACAAATATTAAGTAAAACAGTATGTTTTTGAAATAAAACAATATAAATAATTTAATAGAAAACATTAATTATATTTTTTATAGTTGGTAGTAGGTGCATACTTACTAAGTTCAATCAATAATACGTGTAAAACACGCATAGTTGTGGTTCCCAGAATGCCAACATATAAAATAACTAAATAAAGTGAATATAATGTAGTTAATTCATAATATGAAATAGTGAACGCTTGGACACATTCAAACATTAGGTATTTCATTGATCATATATTAATTAAAACAAATGTTTAAACTTTTAATTCATGTCCAGTATTGTTTACACAAAACATTTATTCAAATACATGGATATTTTCATTGCATCAGTAAACTATATTCTATGGGAAGCGTTTTGTTTGATGCATAGAAATGGATTATCCAAAATCTTATAGCAATTGGTAATAAGATGTAACTTACCAGATTATTTTGTATTGTGATCTTACGGATACAGTTGACAGCAGTACACTAATACTACAGTAGTAAAGACTTCCAAAGTCTAAGTCCTGTTTTCTAACTCCTATGAGTTATTTTTTACCATAAAATACTCAAATGACAAATACTGAAAATTGGAATACCGGATTTGTGAATGGTTCGATATTTTAGATGGTAAAATTGTACAAAACGTAACTATTGTCTGTGGCCGCCGGCCCGCGGCCGGACATCCATTTGCAGGACAGTGGTATTATAATATTTTATAATATTATAGTATTATCACAGACTATTTTCATATAGTATTATATGATATAATAATAATATATAGTCTGGTATTATCAATAGTTTTATATACCTAATTACTATTTACTATTGTAGTAAACCGACGGAGTCGCTTTCCTATTATTAAATATCATAAGTACATTCTCACGATATGACATTGATCAACAACTATAGCGTACCACGCCCTGTTGTTTAGCCACTTCAATAACGCCGAAATCGCATAACGATTTCTAATATACATATTGCCGAATAAACTAATTTTCAACTCAAGGATTATTCGACAACTTTAACACCTGCGTCGGTACCTTTCGAAACCGCCGGTATTCCTTTGATCCACCTCCTAGTCTCTACCGTGTACCTAATAGCTAAAGAAGACTTTGTATATATGTATACGAATCTCCGTCTGTACCTAAATTAGAATTAGCTCAGTGCGACAGTGCTGGTTAGGTTAAGTACACACTTGTAAGTACTTAGTATTAACCACTAATCTCTCGGGCAGACGCTTATCGCTCTGTCCTCAAATTTCTATATTAAAATGTAAAACCATTATATTATTATTAACATTTAAATAAATTACTTATAAATTATAACATTGTAACTTGTCACTCTACAACCTTGTCTCCTACTCAACCATCAACGTGTTTGAACTCAAAATATAAGCGTTAGTGAGGGATCACTACACTATCGCTGTAAAGTAGGTAGGTACCGTGGTAATGTATTATCATAGAATTTGATAGTCGAAGTAATTTATGTCCAAAGCGTACGCACGAATAGATATTAAAATACAAATTCGGAGTAGTATTATTATTATATCGTAACAGTAGTTGTTCGTGGTAATAGTGATATCCCATGCTATATTATAATATGTAGACTGTAGAGCCTTCCTCACTGTGATTGTATAATACACTAAAACATCGCGACCATCAATAGTCGCCATTATCGATAGTTAGAAAAAAAATTAACAACAACAAAAATTTCCAATGTGGATTATCGGCTTCATGAATTTTTTTATGTTGGGTAAAAAAAATATTTGTAACAAACATTACATTTGTATTTTAAACCCTTTATGAATTATGAATGTCCACGTGTCCCCTAATAACAGGTTTGGGTGTGAACTTTTTTTGACACTTGTGACATTCAAATGTGAAACCACGCGACCTAGAAATACAATTTGATTTCCAAGAAATTGTGATTTTTGTAGGTCAATGGTGACGATGAATTCTTTGAATATTTTAAATACTAGTTCTAAATGCTGTATATGTTCTTGAAAATTTGTAGACATGATATGGTTATCATCTACATATATTACAGCAAACTGTAAAATTCTCGTTCCTAGTACTTTTTCAATGATCTTTGGAATTCTGCTACCGAGATTGGAATTCTGTCCACGTACCATTTGTCGGAGTCGTCGATTTCTTCAATTTTTTTTTTGTACACCAATAAGCGCCAAACGGGAAGTTGATTTCTTTTCTTCTTGTTCCTTTTTGAATATCCTGCAGTCCCTTTTCCAGTGTCCTGATTTCTTACAGTGATTGCATTCTCCTGGTTTTGTATTATCATTTTTGTTCAAGTATTTTTGACTTTTATTATACTTGCCTTTGTTTGCACTCAAAGCACTACATTCAGCACCATCGTCACGGACCTCCTGCCCTTGCACTTGTCGCGTTTCTTCCACCATCAATCAAGCGGTTAACTGTTCCCGCGTTCTATTTCTACTTCAATTTTTTTTATTGAAACCACAGGAGCATTTAAGAGAAGAAAGTGACCTTAGGCAGCTGGAAACTGAAAAAGAAAAGATCGGTTCATATATTAAGATTAAAGTGGAAGAAAAAAAGAACCTTGGCAGGCTCTTCGCCTGTTGAGCGCGGCTTTGTTGTCCGCTTGATCATCCCGTTCGTCTTCTTCTTTGGTGTTCATTATTCTTTCCACCATAACTATGAACTCCCGTCTATTTGTGTCAGCTTGTTCTGCGATCCTACACCGGGCTGTCGGATCGTCCGGTAGGTCGTCGGGCCTAGGGCCGCACAGGGGTTCCTGCACGTCCCCTGGCTCTGGTGGCCGTCGGAGAATCCTAGTCAGGACCACGCGTTCGTCTTCCCACCTGGGACACGCGAAGAGCGTGTGCTCCGCCGTGTCGTCAGGGTCCATGCAGTATGTGCGGTAACTATCGTCTGCCCGATTGAACCCCCACAGGTAACTGCGGAACTCTGTGCGAACAGAGCCTGGGTCAGACGGTAGGTGAGGCTCATCGCGGGCTTCGCCAGCCAACGTGCCAGTCCACGTTGTCCAATTCAGAAACCATATGCCACCTGTGTGGTCCGTGCGAGGTGCATGTGCGTTACGCGCGTCATGCGTCGCTTTATATAAGAAAAATGTTCTATAGAAAAAAAATGTATAGCTCGGTATTGTGTGTAGATACCTCGTGCTTTTTTTCTTGAATTGGACAACGTGGAGGAAAATATTTCACTTAAAAGAAGAAATATTCCAGGAAAAGTGAGTAAAATATTATAAATTAATAATATCGGTACTGTAATAATACATGTTTAATTTTTATGATTTTTATTTCACCGGCATTTCGAAATGTTGTTTATACGAATTTTGATTTTCGAAATTAAAAAATACGAAATAGATATAACATACTCCCCAAAATAATATAAGTTTGACCAAATTAAATATAAATTTGTTTTTTAGTCGATACGGAGCCGTCAGAAGACCATGATTATCAACATGGAACAAGACATGAAATTGAAGTCTCCGAGTAAGCTGTACAAGGAAATGATGGTTGAAATTTTAAATATCACAGGTATTGGTCGCAATTCGATAGTTTCAATTATTTCCGAATACAAAAAAACCGTAACTGTTACGTCTTCTAATAAGACACGTAATAGTGTCTGTTCGATCGCATTGACGATTTAGATCGTAATGCACTTCGTCATAAAGTTCATTCCTTTTGGTTGAGAAAAGAAATACCAACCATCGACAAAATTTTGCATGCGGTGAATGAAGATACTGCCCTTCCCGATTTCAAACGCACTTCGTTGTATTCGTTGATAAAGAAATTGGACTTAGTCTTCACCAAGAGGAAAAGATGCAGCGTGTTGACGGAGCGAGAAGATCTGTTTGTTTGGCGTCAGAATTATTTGTACGATGTACGTAAATATAGAGAAGAAGGTCGTACCGTCTACTATCTAAACGAAACGTGGCTAAATGCAGGTGATTGTGTTGACAAGGTGTGGGTCGACCAGACAATTCGGTCAAAACATGACGCTTTTAAAGGTCTGACAACAGGTGTTACGAACCCGACTGGCAAGGGCAAACGTTTGATAATTGTACACATTGGCTCGCACAAAGGTTTTGTAGATGGTGGTCTATTATTTACGACCCCGAGCTCTTTGTTCAAGGCCACGCGGTTCCTATGAAACGTTCCATGCCATACCTCGGTGTTGAACTGGACACGCGTCTGTTGTTCACGGAACACGTCAGTCAAGGCCTACGAGTCGGCGATCGCCATTGGGAGACTGATGCCCAACGTCGGCGGACCTTCTCAGAGCAAGAGAGCCCTGCTGGGAACAGTGACCAACAGCAAGCTGCTGTACGCGGCTGCAGTCTGGGCCACTCAAGGCACAAAAACGGCTAAAAATCGGAACGAGATGGCAAGGGCGCAGCGCACCGTCGATATCCGCACAAATTAACTGTTTTCGCAATAAATATTATTTTTTTTTTCGTTACTTGTTTTGTTACCTTAATAAATAATAATATTACAAAACTCACTTAAATTATACGTTATCGAATCATAAATGATTTTAATTTTAATTTTATAGATTGGCATAATCACGAAAAATGTACAACTATTGCAAGACAAAATGTAAGTACATCATGTAAGCGTGTGGCTGTCGAAGACATAAGTATTCGTCCTAGAAAAATTATTTTAACTGAAATGAATAACCACATAACTAATACAGATTTCACTATATCTGATGTATCCGCTATACGAAAAAGTATTTACCATGCTCGTAGAAAATCTCTTCCATCAAATCCTAAATCTGTGTCTGATGTGCATAAAGCATTAAACGATCTACATTTAACTATTTCTAAAAACGAAGTTTTTTTATTTATTAATGACGAATTATCTAATATAATTATATTTACATGCCACGAAAATTTAAAATTTTTATGTAAGTCAGAAACGATTTATATTAACGGGACTTTTTCGTACTGTCCAAAATATTTTGTTCAATATTTTGTCATTCATGGATTTATCATCGAATATTATGTACCATTAGTATTTTGTATTTTAAATAATAAATCGACAGATACGTATCATCTTGTTTTATCATATATCAAAAATAAAGCGATGCAAAATTTTAGTTTAATATTTAAACCAAAATATGTTACTGTTGATTTTGAATTATCTATACATCTCGCTGTGAAATCAGTATGGCCATTATCCGAAATTATAGGCTGTCGTTTTCACTTGACTCAAGCTTGGTACAGGAAAATTCAATCACTAGGATTAACTTCAGCTTATAAGGATAAAAAGTGGTTAAAATTTACATTTGGTTTAACTTTTCTCGATCCAAATGAAGTTTCGGATTGTTTGGTTGACGATTTTATGTCTGAAATCCCTGATGATCCAAAATACCGAAAATATGCAGATTATTTAGTAGATAACTACATCGGAGAAAATGCCAATTTCCCTCCAAACATTTGGGCAGCGTTTGCAGCTGATTTAACTAGAACCACCAATAACTGAATCTTTTCACTCTCACTTCAATGAATAGTTTTATAAATAGCATCCTAATATTTTTACATTTTTTAGAAATTTTAATTAAAACAGTTCAAACAGATGTTTATATTAAAATCAACAGTTGTGTTTAAAATATACCTAACCCTCAAACAAATGCACAAGTTAAAACCAGATTAAAAAAAAACTTTAAAAGCAATTAAGGATTATAAAAACAAAAAAATGACGCGTTATGAATATGTACAAATGGTTGCATTTAATTACAATAAAGATTAGGAAGATATAATGCTAAAAAAATCTTAATTTATTTTTATTATGATCAATTTGATTGATATTGATATTTTATTGACTATAATTCGATTGACTATTATTACCTATAGCCTATATTTTTCAATAAAATGTGTACTTATACTAATTATTTAATATTGTTTAAAAAGTGTATTATTGATAATTATTTTTAAAAAAATCGTATTAGTTTATTATAATTAATAAAAAATATGTTTTATTTATATTATTTGTTATAAATTATAATAGTTAGTAATAAGTATATGTATAGTTTTTAAAAACAGTTTGTATTAATTCTGATTATTGTTTCAAAAAAAATGTGTATATACAGCTATTATTGATGATAATTTTAAAAACATTCGTATAATTAACTATGATTTAAATTAAAATTGTATTTATTATTATTTGAGAAAAAAATATATTACTTTATTATAATTAAATTTGTCGGCTCGCCAAAAGGAGGATGGGAACGAGACTGCCAGAGCGGCGGACTACGGTCGGCTCGCCAATTCGGACAGCAAGAATGAGACTGCCAGGGCGCCGGACTCCGGTCGGCCTGATAAGATATTAGGAGGAAGGTGAATATGAAAACGATTACGTATAAAATGTTATGTTTATGTTTATGTTATGTTGATGGGGGAGGTAAGTCGGGGTATTGTCCCGTCTACCCCCCCCCCCAGCCCGTATGTATAAATTGTTGATTTTATCAATAAACTATGGCGGCGTCGCGGAAGCATTGCGAAAGCAGTCTCCACGGCGTCGTCGAATCAAACCTGGAAAAAAAAAAAGTATTAAGTATAAAAACTTTTAAATTTTAGAAACTTGTACAATCCCGTAGGATGGGATATCTGCGGGACAAAATAAAAATAATAAGAGAGAAAGTAAGTTTTTAGTACTTCAATATATTTATATGTGCTATTTAAATAACAATTGCATACTTACAACAACAAAAAATAGTATTGCAATGTATAGTACCATTCGTGATACATACATGGTAATGTTATTTCTATAGCATAAATAATTAAAACTTTAATATTTTAGAAACTAGTAAAATCCCGTAAGGGAGATCTGTGGGACAAGTTAAACAAGAAAGCGGAGAAAGTAAGTTTTTAGTATTCAATTCCTGATACATAGTATATGGTAATGTTATTTCTGTAGTATAAGTAATTAAAACTTTTAAATTTTAGAAACTGATCAAAGCTCCCGCAGAGATACCCACAGAAAAAACAGAGGAAGTAAGTTTTTAGTAAATACTTCAATATTTTGTCCATATGTATTATTTGAATAACAATTTCACACACCTAGGGTAAAATAAAATGTTGATTGCAACAAGTTAATGTTAAATTACTATTATTTTAGACATAAAAATTTTGAAATTAATTTATGTGGTCACTTATCACGAATAAAGTAAATATGGTATTAATAATAGTTTTAATTTTAACAAGTGAAGGTAGAACCTAGTTAATGTTGACACTTGTAATCAATTTTAAAAAACTATTTTTATTGGGAAATAAATCAAGGATTATTAAAATAATTATTTGTTTGACGTGTGTTAACACTATAATTCTATCATCATCATATTAACTAATTAAATACAATTTATTAAGCCTCCATCATAAATAATCTACTTATACATACAAAACTACTAAATATGTATATAATATATAATATATAATATAATTAATAATATTAAATTATGTTATAGGAAAGAACACAACAGACAGAGATAGTTGACGTAGAAATCCCTCCAATGAGAGTAGATAACCTTATAGTGTTTTTAAAAAAAAAATAAAAAAACCTATTTAAATAATAAGAGTTATTCATTTCAGTTTTAATATCCTACAAATTATTTTTTTCAGATACTTCGTTATGAAAAAAAGTAACATGGTAGGGAAACGTGGGGCAGAACGGGGCCATGGGGGCAAAACGGTGACATTCCAATATATATGTCTTATAATGGTCATACTGATTTAAAAACTTAATATATAGAATCCTTGGGCTAACAATATCATGTGACAAAAATTTCAAGTTCACATATCAATTATCTTATCAGTAATAAATTAAAATCATTACACTTGCCTCTTATCAATTGATTGATATAGTAAACTGTTATTTTGTTTTGAAATGTTTTTATGGTTAACTTATTGTATCTCATATTTTTTTTCGCTGTTTCTCTAGTAAATGTTTTCAAGATTATTTTAATAATGTTAAAAAAATTAATTGTTGTGTGTAGAAACAACGGCTGCAGGTAAGTGTAATAATTGGGGCATAATGGGGTATACCTGTTTGGGGCAAAATGGGGATGTCCCCGTTTTTCCCCAATGTATTAATATATTCATAATCTGTAAACGATATGTTACCATATTTTTAGAATGGTTAGAAACTATCATAGAAAGAGTAAACGCCAATCATGGATGATGTAATGTATGGTTGATGTAAAATGACATTATTGTTTGTGTAAACAAAGAGATGGGATACAGAAAAGCAGCATCAACATATGATGTTCCACAATCTACTCTTGAAAGAAGAGTAAAAGCTTACTTACAATCTGGAAATAAAACTAATGATTTTAGTAAAGGTAATCTTATTTAAGTATTTACTTTTACAATGCAATTAATATTTTATTATTTTATTAGGACTTGGGAAGTATAAAACTGTTTTCAACAGTGAACAAGAAATTGAATTGGTTGCATATATTAAAACTATGGAGGCCCTTTTATTTGGACTAACACCTTTAGAGTTAAGAGGATTAGCTTTCCAACTGGCAGAAAAGAACAATTTAATGCATCCTTTTCAAAAAACCCAACCTGAAGGGTGGAAGAGACTGGCTGTATGGGTTTATGAAACGACATGCTGACCTATCATTACGAAAACCTGAAGCTACATCAGCAGCAAGAGCTTCTGGTTTTAATAAGGTAGCAGTTGGTAAGTTTTATGCTTTGCTGACAGATGTTGTAGATAAGTACAAATTAACTGCTTCGCAAATATTTAATATTGATGAAACGGGAATATCTTGTGTCCCAAAATATCAAAGCAAAATAATTGCATGCCGTGGTCGCCGTCAAGTAGGTACTTCAACATCTGCTGAAAGAGGCCAAACAATTACAGTTGAAATATGTATGTCTACAGATGGATCCTATATGCCTTCTATGTTTATATTTCCTCGCGTTAGGGAAAAACAAGAGCTTATTGATGGTGGACCACCAGGGTCGTGGGAGGAAGTGCACCCAAGTGGGTGGATCCAAACTGATTTGTTTTTGAAATGGTTTGACAAATTTATATTATTTTCAAGAGCATCTCAAACAAATGAAGTTTTGCTTCTACTTGATGGTCATTCTATCCACACAAAATCTATACAATTGATAGAGCTAGGGACGCTGGTGTAATTCTGCATTGTTTTCCGCCTCATTGTACACATAAGCTGCAGCCATTAGATGTAGGATTTATGAAACCGCTTAGTGTATATTATTGTGATGAAATAAAAAAATGGCTGAGGGAGCATGCTAACGAGCACAGAGTAGTTACACAATTTCAAATTGCTTCACTGTTTGGAAAAGCTTATTTGAAGGCATCTACTATGCCAACAGCAATAAACGCCTTCAGAGCAACTGGCATATGGCCAGTTGACTCCAACACATTTAATGAGCATGATTTTCTAGCTAGTGCAGCTACAGACATTGATTTGGGTGATACAATTTATAGTAATAATCAACACAATATTACAGATATGAATACAATTCAACTAGAAGTTCCTGATCCAGGCCAAAAAGAAAGTATTGCAACAGATATATCAACAAATCAAAACTCACCAGGATGCTCTTATCGGAAAAATAATGCTGAAAAAATATTTCCTATGTCTTCTCCTGAGGATATTTATCCAATACCTAAAAGCTCAAAAACCACTGCACGGTGTTCTAAGAGAAGAGGTAAAACAGCAATCCTTACTGAATCTCCCTATAAAAATGAACTTTTAGCAGCAAACTCAAAGCCACCGACTTCAAAGAGTTCATTGTTTTCGAATAAAAAAAAAACAAAAAAAACAAGGAGAGTTAAAACTAAGAAACCAGTTCCCAGTGATGTCGATGAGAACTGTCTATACTGTGGCGAGTCATATTTAATATCAGTTGATGGGTGGGTTCAATGTTCCAAATGCAAGTTATGGGCACACTGCCTTTGTGCGGGCATCGATGAAAAAGATAAAGATGCCTTATTAACCTGTGAATTTTGCTCTTAATTATTTTAAATATGTTAATTGTTTTATGTAATTTTTAAGTTCACCTACTTGGGTATAATAATAAGTATTTCAATAAAATGTACAAATTTAATAAAAGAAAAAGTTCTGTTTTAAATTTACAAGCATTTATTATTCTTTGTTTTTCTACAATTATTATATTAAAATATATTCCTATAAATATAATAATATAATATATTACATTATGCATATTATGCAAGTTATAAACATTATTTAAATAAAAAGAATTTTAAGTTGATTAATTTAATTGTATTTATGTTAAATGAAATAATATTTGAATGACGTCCCCATTTTGCCCCTAGTGTGGGGAAAACGATACTTAAATATATTTTGACCTTTAACACTATGAGACTTAACTGAATGTTTAAAATATGCTAACATATTAATAGCCATATCCTAAGGATTACACAGTTAAAGTTTCAAATCAAAATAACAATTCTTGAGTGAGTTATAGCTTCTGATACATTAACGTCCCCATTCTGCCCCACGTTCCCCTACTTGATTATCATAGATGTTTTTATATTAATAATTTGTGCTTCTATGTTGATGAAAGTAGGTTAGTCAGAAATAAACCGTAGTTTTTACCTATTATAATATGTAGCTGGTCTTGTGGTAGGTACATAGACTTGTTCCTTTTACAGTTACATTGAAATATCTAGACACAGCAGATTTCCAAACAACATATGTTTGCATTTTCAATTCACAGGTATCCAAATTTGTTTTGTTCGACGACACGACTAGGTACGACCTAAATGTAATTCTTCTTAATCAGAAATTTCCAATTAACATAAAAAATAAAAAAAATTAATATAATATTACGTATTACACATTAGTACATTACATACCTTTAAGAAACGAGAACAATCTCGATTCAATGCTGTTTTTAATGATAGAATGCTATTGATAAATGAAACAAATCGCTAGGTTATTAAAGCGAAACATTTTAATAAAATAAAATTCAAAACCTGCCACGACGTGTAATTATTGGTTAAAAACAAAATATTGCAAATAATGAGAAAAAAATAGGTACATATAATAAGACTATTCGGCGCTTAGTTGGAGGAATTTTTGGTGCAGGTTTTGAGAAGCTGCCTTGTATACTGGACATCCCTTAAAGTTGGCAGTGTGGTCCCCACTGCATAGGGCGCATTTGGCAGGGCTGTTGCAGTCTTTGGAACAGTCTTCCGTTGGGTGATTTTCACCGCATTTGACGCATCTAGGTTTATGACTGCAACCGTTTTTCGTGTGTCAGTATAATTGGCAGTTGTGACATTGCGGAGGGCTACGCTTTTTGTGCGGTTTCTCGATCTTAACTTTGGTGTTGAGTAGTGATGTGATGTCGTGAATGTCTTTGTTGTCCTGTGGTAGGACATCCACAAAGAATAGTGGAAGAGGGGATTTGCTTTTATTTTTGGCGTTATACACGTTTTTTACTTGGTGACCTAACTCGTTCAGAGCGTTTATGATGTCAGTGTTTAGTGTGGAATGGTGCAGGTTTCTAATTGCGACTCTGTAGGTGCGGAGGTGACGGGGGTATATGAGTGGAAACTGGTTTCCGTATCATGTAGGTAGTCAATGATTGTATTGTAATTTATACCCTTTATAGGGCACTGGGATCTATACTTCCCATAACGGGAAAAAAATGTTTAATCTTTGTGGTTTATTACTATTTACTTATCGATTGCACTGAATTAATCTTCGATATATTGTGCGCAATTTTTATATAAGGTTTACCTATGATAAGAGCAACACAATCGTCATAAATAATCGCAATCGATATCAATGGGATGATATATTCCCATTGCCCATACCATGTATTTAATTTATCATAACTGTTTTATTTTTCAAATTTTATATTAGTTTTTAAATATTATCAAATATTATAAGTAACCAGTGGTAACAACGGTTATGTTATAACAATCAATACAATTCCCGCTATTTGTTGGTGTTATCACTTAAATTACCCGCTAAAAATTAATATGATAAAAGTGATAATCAAAATATTTTTTTATTATCAAGCAAATAAACATGTTATTTTAAAACAGTCAAAATTTATTCAAACTTCACCTCAAAATCATTAATGTAAGTATCTTTCAATCAACCATAATATGTAGTTTTAGAAAATATAAAAACTTAGTATTTGTTATTATCCACTAAGAAAATATTTATAGTTTTATACCAATATATTGTTGTAATTCTGTAATATATTAATATATTATATGATATGTATTCCATGTATAATTTCTCTATGGTTACAAAATATACTTATAACCATTTAATTTTTTGGTAAAAATATGTAGATGCCTCGTGGTCTTACTGAAGAAGACATCATATTTCAATTAAATAGTATATCTGACTCAATGGCATTTGATTCAGATGAAGGAGGCGATTCGGATGCAGAAGATTTCCATCTTAATGTAAAATCAACACCAACTGCAATAAAACCTGTTGACACATCTTTTTTTCGAGTTCCAGCTCATAAAATAACATCTACTTTAAAAGGTTGGTATATTGGTTTTGTATTATATAATTTATTAAAAAATAGATTTTACATTCCAAGATGCAGATCCTAATAATGTCAAGTCAACACCGAATACACTAGAACCTGTTCACAGTCCATCTTTTTTGAGAGTTCCACCAAAAATTGATTTAGAAGCTTCTACTTCAGAAGGTTGGTATATTAGTTTTGTTTTATATAATTTACATTCCAAAAGTAGGGACCTATATTATATAGTATTGTGTATTTGTATATTACATACAAATTATAAAACATATAATATGTACTGATTACATCATATTCAATCAGATTCTATATTTATTAGGTATTAGAACGTACATAGTATATAGATATTCAGATAGGTTGAGTACCTACTAACACACATGCATATAACTAAAAATAATACATCACTATAATGTATTTTTGTTATAAGTAAAATGTTTTAAATGTAAAATATCTCAAAAACATTTTTACCTTTTATCTTTTTTAATTATGATACTTTCTATTGATTGAATACTATTTAATTTAAAATTTAAATACTTGTATAACCAATATGAGTAAACACCATATTAAAATGATTGATTAAATTTAAAAAAAAAAACTAGAACTTATAATATAAAGGTTAAGTTTATATTAATTTGATAAATTATATTTTATGCATAGTAAAATATTTTATTTGTTTATTACAATGAAATTAATTGAAAACATACCAAAGTATATCTATTTTTAAAATAAAATTAATAGTTTATATTTATATTAATTTTAGAGCAATATGACAATAATTCTGGCAATCAAAGCTCAATAGAAACAAATAGGGACTTGATTAAAGACTTTGACCAGGCATTTCCAGATTATGTTTTTGATTTTGATTTCATTGGTGGAAATGATGAATTTGAAAATGATAATATATTATGTAATATAATTGATATTGATGATGATGATCAATTATTGACAAGTGAAGTTTGTGAAGAAGAAGATGATGGTGGTAATTTTAGTGAATATAATAATTTTACTAAAATAGGATGTTCTCCTACAGTTTTCAAAAAATGTCGTTTTAGAGAAATCCAAGGACCTATAGATAAAAATATTTATAAATTACAACCAATTGACATTTTTTTAATGATAATGGAACCAATGTTTGAAACAATTGTTGAAGAATCCAATTTATATGCTACTCAACACAATGCTAATTTAAATACAAATGTTGATGAAATTAAAGCATTTATCGGTATGCTCATTTATATGGGTTATCATTCCCTTCCGAGTATAAGGCTTTATTGGTCAACTGACCAAAACTTTTATTGCGAAAGAATAGCCAAAATAATGCCTGTAAAGAGATTTTTGAAACTTCTTCGTTATCTTCACCTAAACAATAATTTAAATATGCCACAAAGAGATTCTCCACATTTTGACAAACTTTATAAAATCCGTCCACTCATATCTCATTTGCAACATAAATATCTATCTATATTTAAACCATCTAGGCATGTAGCTGTAGATGAAAGTATGGTGCCATTTAAAGGACGTTTTACCATGAAGCAGTACATGCCAAATAAGCCGATAAAACGAGGGTTTAAAATTTGGGCATTGGCTGATACAGCTAGTGGATTTTTGCTAAATTTTGATGTGTACACTGGGAAAAAGACTGACGGTAAACCAGAATTCGGTTTAGGTGAAAATGTTGTTTTAAACCTATGTGGAAATTTAAAAAACTTATATTATTGTGTTTATTTTGATAACTTTTTCACAAGTATACCTTTGATATCAAAACTTTTAGAATATAGAATTTTTGCTTGTGGCACATTCAGAACGAACAAAAAGTTTTATCCTAAAAACCTAATGAAGAAAGATAATAAATATGCTTCTGGAGATATAGAGTATGCTCAATGCAATGATATAAGTGTTATGCGCTGGAAAGACAGAGGTTCTAAGCCAGTTACACTGATGCATACCTACGCTAATCCCAACTCCCCCAGTGGGCGATGGGATACTATTTTCCCATGATCTTTTTTAGCAATGCAAATAAAAAAAAAAATTTTTTTTATTTTTCCCAAATTACCTGTATCCTACTGAGTAAGTATACCAAATTTTATAAGAATTGGATGATATTTTACCTTCTGCCCTATAAAGGGTTATACGACTTGATGGTATAACCATGAGGTATGTTGATGTTGCCCTGCAGGTGAAACCTTCCGGGCTGGTGATATTGGTTAGGGCGTTTTTGAAAGCGGAAAAGTTTGTAATGTTTTTAATAACTATAGGCGGAATGACCATTTTTCTGACCTGAACTGTGTGAGGCTGGTTCGCTGGAGTAGCATCCAACGAGTTGGAAGCGGACGTGGCTGCTGCTTCTTGGTCGTCGGGGTCATTAGTGGCGAGTGCGGCAAAATGATTTGGTGTAATAAAAACTTTTGACTTTTTGTCAGTTTGACTCGGCGACAGCGACGAACTGGACAAATTTCTTTTTGACTGATTAGGCGTGCGTGACGTAGCGAGGCCCGCATTACGGGCGCTGTTGTTCATTATATGGTTATAATAAAAACAAATAATTATATTATACTGTTAATTGGCGAGGGCGCACAGAGATAAGGGAGTGATACATCGAACAAAGCAACGTACGTGCGTTCATATCGAATGTTGCGGCCGAACTATTTCAGTATTAAATATTATAGAAAGAATTACCTGTATCTAATAATACCATTAAAACTCACAACACATAAATAAAATACAAATAATATATGATTTAGGTAGATAAATTTATTATTTTTTCAAAGAACTTCTGTACATAAAAATGGTCTTTATATGCTTGTTCGCTGGCAACTTGTATCGCCGTTGTTTCTTTTGTAAAAATCTGGCAACTGATGGTCTAGGATCAAAATGTGCCGTACCACTGCTGTTTAAAGCGATATAAAGACGGCGGTTAATCGCTTCCCTCGAGTAATTGGACTGTTTGTTTTCAAAATTGTATGGCAAGATACAGCGCGTTTAGGCCCACAACTATGAGGAGTGATAGAAATATACGTCTGCACGAGTTTGGAGAATAAAGTATTTGGTGTACTAATTTTTAAATAATAGTAAAGCTTCCCAGTGAAATCTGTGATATTACATGGCGCAGGTAGATTTTCTGACGCATAGAGCCCGAGTACTTCATCGCTAAACTGACTCAAATTAGTTTTGTCAAATAATCCTTCGACATCATATCTGACCGAAGCAATCACTTCTGCTGCACTCTGTGCGTTTAAAAATGATTTTAGTCGATTGATAATACTTTTATGTTCACATTCAAGTCACTGTTGTAGAAATTCCATGGCACTTTGTATAATTTCATTTCTAACACTTGAAACACAACGTCGTGTTTCAACATATGCATTTCGAATTGTTCGTGTTTGTATATTGTCATCATCTTTCTCATGTTCTAATTCTACATTACACAACTTGTTTTTTAAATCTTCTTTTTTTCCACCAGGAAAACAATTAGATGCGATTAGAGACAACGATTCAAGTACTTCAATTTTTTTAGTTTCAATGTCACACAAAGTGGTCATCGATTTTTGGCCTTCTTTTTGTAATTTTTCAAACTGGCGAAGTATGTCCATCATTAAAGCAGTATAATATTCTTGGTCTCCACCTTCCTTCCATAGCTTTAAAAATCCTTTAACTGTTGATTTTTCAGTTTTATTCCCACTAACGCTAGTAATTAATGAATTCCAATGCGTTCTTATCGCTTTTAAATTGTTCCAAACTGATTCACTTAAGTTTAAAAGATGTTGAACAAATCGCACTTCAAAATGTTCTGGGAATCGATAGAAGTTGTTGTTTGACTTTTCTGAAATTAATTTAAGTTCTTCTGTACGTACCGCTGAATTTCTGTAAAATGTAGCAATAACTTTTAAATTTGATTTCCAGTGTTTCACTTCTACTATTGATGTCTGTAAATCTCCAAACGCTAAATCCTATACGCAACGCACCAAATACAAAGTATTTCTTTTTTCAAATGTTCTCGAATTCTTACCCAGAGACCAATATTCTTACCAGTGTTAGCGCTCTCGACATCAGTAGTTAAGCCAGTCATGTTTTGTTTTGCAATATCTTCTAAGTTTAGGTTTTTTAAAGTGATTATAATCGAATCAAGTAAACCTCTGCTCCACGCTTAGAAGAATGACTTTCTCCGAGGAATACATTTTTCATAGCTTTACTATTTTCAAGATAACGAGCTATTATGAACTTGTTACCAATCGAATACTTGTCAACAGAGCCATCAACTTGTATTGAAAAACATTCTGCATGTTTTAACTCTTTTGTAACAGATTCCATTATGATTTCAGCAACTGTATCTAACATTTCACGATATGTAAGTGGATTTTTGTAGTGAAGTGCAGAAGCGGATGGTTCAAAACAAACAAATGTAGAATAATCTAAACCATACTCTTTGTAACTAGCAATTTGAGCATCAGCATGCATTTTCGAAAGTGATCTAGATGGCCATGAATTAGCAGATAATGTCAATACTTTACTATCATTGTATTAAATTTTTAATAATTTCTGACTCATGGTTTTTAAGAACTTTAATCCAAGGATGTTTATCAGACTGTGTTAACCAGAGGCGCTGAGTCTCGTCAGCTTTACAAGCCGCACCATGAGAGTCACTATGTAAATGGTCAACAACCCTCATCAATTCTCTTTTACCATCACATCGTATACCATCAGCCATCGGCAGTTGTCCATTACGAGAAAATTTTTTAGCTTCTGTAATTTGATCAAAACAAATCATGCATTTTAATCCTGATCGTTTTCCCAATTTTATTTTTCTGACCATAGAAAACGTTTGCATTAACCATTGAACATCTAAATCAAAAGACCCTTTATACCATTCTGTATTTGTACTATTTATCTGAGATTCGTTTACTGTCGTATCTAGTGTACTAAAGAAGAATCAGCGCGTGTACCGAGTGTAACAGAATCGCTTTTATCACTTTTGTTTTGAAAAAAACAGTTGAACTACTAGGTTCAATAGATGTAACAAGACTTTGAGATGTAGAAAAAGTTTCAGTAGATGTAATTAGACTTTAAGATGTAGAAATAGTTTCAGTAGATGTAATTAGACTTTGAGATGTAGAATTATTTAATTTTAATTGTTTTTCTTTATGAGATTTTTGAAAATAATAATCTGTTATACGTTTTGCCATTTGGATTTGAATGTAATAACTTGTGTGATATTATTCAACGTTGTTAATATATTTTAGGGCCACCGAACCAAAGCATATATTGAGTCAATAGATTTGATATCCATATCTAGAGAAACAAAATAAAAACAACCGTACACTAACGTTTTACCAAAAAGTTATAAAAGACAATATAATTGATATGCTTATAAGCATAAGCTTACATTAACGACGTTATATAAATAAATAAATAAATAAAAATAAAATATATTTAGCAATGTTACATAAGTATATAACAGTATAATAGTATATACCCTTATTATACACTGATGGTTTAAAAAAAGTCATCTGAATGTTTTACGTGTTAATACTGCAACTCTTGAATAAAAATATTATGTATCGATATTAGTTCAAGGCTGGGCATTAACGAGTTAAAAAGTTAAATAAAATTAAAAGTTAAGTTACTTTTAACTAACTTAAATAATGAATTACATTTTTTCCATGTTATATTGTAACAATAATTAACAATAATAAGTAATAATAATCCAAAATATTAAATATTATACTAATTAATAAGTAATAATTTCTAATTAATGCTGTTATATTATTCACAGAAATTCACAGAATGTTAATAATATTACATCAATACGTAAAACGATTGATTAATATTATTAATAGTGTTTATAACCAATGGTAATACGTTATACGTATCATAATATAATAATATTATTATTATTATGTAAGTAGATATGTATATTTAATAAAAGTATTATTGTATTTTGTAGTATGTTATAATTATTGAAAATAGGTGCTGTATTTAAGTTCAAGTATAAAGTATTAAGTTTTAAATTATTTTGTACTTACCAAGAGACGAAAGTCGTATTGTACGTTTAAACTGTCGAAAGGTTTAAAAAGAAATAATCATTTAGCTAATAGCTTGTAGGAACATGGACTAAAATAAAATCAAAAACAATCAATTTGTAGATATTTGCCGAGACGACTGACGACCAGATGAAACCTGTCGCATTATCGCGTGCCACTTGGAATAAATTGCTTGTATTATTCTATGGATAGGTACCTACTACCTACGGGCTACGGTGAACGGTCACATGGGTTTTCCATTGCTCGATAATTATTTGCCGAACGAAATTATATAAATTATACGTCATAAATAAATAACAACATTAAACATAATAAATGAAATAAAATTAATTAAAACTATGTAATAATTTCAAACATCGACATTTTTATAAAAAACCGTTGTCGCCCAGTAATTAAATATATCATCTACTAGGCGACAAAAAGTTCTGACTGGGCGACATTAACGCCCAGTATATTAGTTAAAATATCCACTGGGGCATTAGTAAAATAACATATTATAAATGATACTCAGCGTCCCCGTCACATCTTATCACTTTCAATCGCCAATATAATTTATTTGGCATAAATATTGGCGATAGAGATTTTTTTCTATGCAACAACTCCACCACAAGTAGTTGGTCACTGCCGTATAACCACAAAATAATAACAACTTTTTTAATTTTTCGGACAAAAGCTTATCACTCGACAACAGAAAGTGATAACACAGAATATTCTGGGGTAATCGTAATATTAAACTATAGATTGTATGGATAGGCCATATTTTGATTCTTCAGTTTCATATTATAATAATATTTTTAAATTACAACAAAATAACCAAAATCGTTAATACTGATTTTAATATGTAATTTTGTCCAAATTTGAATTTAAAATATCTGTAAAAAATAACCGTGTTTATGTATTTTTTAGATTTTTTGGTTACAGTATGAGCTATTTATGAGAATCTTTGCTTTAAATTTTCAATCCTTAGTTATAAAAACTGTTCATTTTATAATTTTTTAATTACAGTGATTGATAATTTTCAAGATTTTGATAAATTTTGTCAAAATTCGAAATGCTTATAAAAAAAATGTGTGCCTATGTATTTTTAATATTTTAAAATTGCTATTGTAACAATATATCAGAAGACTTGCATTACATTTTCACCCATTTTTACCCAACAAATAAAATTTAATTGATATTTATAGAAAAAAAAAACTAAAAAATTTAAAACTGACAATGTCCGTAAACAGCTCAAAAGAGTCAAAATATTTTCAAAATTGTATGGTGTATGGAAAATGCTAATTTAAACATTCAGTAAAATTTTCAAGTATCTACAGTCATTCGTTTTTTAATTAAAACAAAATAAGGAAATCGCTACATGAGAAATCGAGTGAATATCCAATGTTGTAAAAATTTGAATTTCAAACGCTCATAAAAATTTAATTTGACTTTCTTGTAGACATTTTTTTTTTTGATGAAGGTAGACAAATGTATAAGGAATCTTGCATTACATTATCTTAGATTTAAAAAGAAAAATTTTTATGAATTTCTAACTCGAAATAATTTGCAAATTTTCGTCATTTTCACGCATTTTGTCAATATTTAGAATTTAAATGCTTATAACAAAAAACTGTGACTAAAGATTTTTAATATTTTTCATCTGTGTTTGGAACAATATATTAGGAGCCTGCTATTAATTTTTTAAGCTTTTATACCTTACAAATAAAATTTTATTGATATTTATAGAAAAAAAATTTAAAAAAAATGGAAACTAAAAATGTCCGTATAAAGCTCAAAATAACACAAAATATTTAGAAAATTATATCATGTAGAGAAAATGGAAATATAAACAACCAGTGAAAATTTCATGTATCGACGGTCATTTGTTTTAAAGTTACATCAAAAACCAAAATCAATTTTCTCGAAAACAGATTTTACGTAAAAATTCCCGTTTTTCCTTAATTTTTCTTCTGTTTTTCACGGCGCTTTTGAAAACTACTGGGAAACTTTCACTTTTGACCCCCCCCCCTGCAAAGTACCAACTAGATTCACATTCCCATCAGAAAAGATACTGTTGAAGAAAATCCAAGCACTTTTACTGTCCTAAAAGGTGATGAAAAACACAAAAAAAAAAAAAAAAAACACATCATTGTAAAATCAATACATTCATCGTTCCACTCAGAATCTAAAATGTAAATCTTCTATTTATAATAACCAAGGCTGGGCATTAACGAGTTAAAAATTAAAATTAAGTTAAAACGTTAAGTTAATTTTAATTAAGTTAATTAACTCGTTACTTTTTTTTCAAATTAACTTTTAACTTAATAAGTTACTTTTTTTCAAGATTAACGTGTTAACTTCAAGTTAATTTTATTTCAAAAATATCTAAATTAAGTTAATTTTCTTCCGAAGAATAATGTAAATTTTTTAATGTGTTTTTACTTTGATGTATCATTTTAAATTTCCCCAGTAATTTTCTTAGACGTAAAGAAAAACTATCTAATAAACCACATTATGTGTTCTATTTTTGCAAATTAGCAAATTTTAACTTTACACTAAGTTAAGTTACTTTTTTTTCAAAGTTAACTTTTAACTTAACGAGTTAACGATAAAAAATACGAGTAACTTTTAACTTAACTTAACTTAATTATTTTAAAATAACTTAACTTAACGAGTTAAAAAAAAACATTAACTTGCCCAGCCTTGATAATAACACAAGAATTGATCCTTACCTTCTATGACTATATGTAAAATAAAAAATAATTAAAAATGATTAACTCAGTAAAATATAAACATAAAATAAACAAATTATCTTTCTTTTACTAATAATACAAGAACTGTTTCTTTGCTTTGACATAAAATGAAAAATTCAGTAAAATATAAACATAATATAAAACATTTCAAATTTTTTTCTTAAAACACAAGATCTGTGATTAACAAAATTTAAAATTATTAACTATTCTTCAGACAATATTTGAAAAAGAAATAACAATTTGAGATAGTCCTTTCAATGCCCAAAAAGACGATAGGTGGCCAGGACTACAATTAATTGAATTTCTTTTTTTGCACTTGTCATATTACCAATTATTTTTAAAGTTTATGTTTTTTTATAAGAATAGGGTTGTTCTGTAGTAAATTTAACAAAATGTATAGGTATCTAGCTATTATATTATGTTTATATTTTTTTAACTGCTCATAAATATCTCACCTTAAACAATTATTACATTTTCAAAAATTTTGTTGTTAAAATATAAAATTAAAAAAAGGTTTGAACAAAAATTATTTAATATTTGATTGGGATAAAAAGTGATAATATAACCAGATGACAATTAAATTCGGTGTATAAACGAATAGGACCCGGGTCATTGAGATCCCACCCACTGTGCCATATGCAGTACCAAGAACATCCCATGAACATGTATTGAGGATTTGCGATGTTATTAACTAATGCATATTGATGTCATAATGATGTTAATGGGATTGCTAATGCCAGGTTCAGCAACTTTTTAAAAAGTATATTTATAAGAAGTTAGGTTATAACGTTTATAAGACTGCATTATGCGATATCTGTAGGATGTCTAGTGTAACTTCTATAATATGTGTATTTCTAAACATCTAAATCATGTTCAATTTGAACAACCATAAGACATCTATTTTGCCTATTATATTACATCTCTAGGAAGTTATTTCAATAACATAGCATGAATGTTATTAATGTTAGGGGAATACACCATAGCCAGGGCGGACTTTGGGGCAAATGCCCCTTCAAATATTTTTATGAACATTATTGGGATCATAATGTAACAGG